ATTAGTGACCCCTCATTAAATAAATTTAGTGTGATTGTCCAGAATCTAAAAAAACAAGTAATATTAAAAAGAAAATGTTAGAATCCATTGCCTATGTCATTTGATGAAACATCTATCATAGATATACATGTAATTATATCTATACAACACAAATCATTGTCAAAATAGTTTGAAAATTACTGCACTGAAATTGAGCTAATGCTTTCAATGAATGTATGAAAAACAAACTTATATTTTTACATTTGAGTTTGCTAAACTCAATGAAATTATTTTATGGATTATAATTGTAACCAACTATAATTTCTTTTCATCAGGCTCATCTCATCTGGAGAGTGCCTCTCATTGTCTGACATTTTGGACTATTCTGGAGGTCATCATTAGTGTACTTTGTGCTCCATGTAGGTAGAGAAAAATCCTCTGTATCAGCAGCACATTTTTGGCCCTATGTTTACCAACTTTTTCCATATGGATGTCTAATCTTCATTTTAAAACTTCATGGACAAAATCAGAATCCAACTACATTCACCAAGTTGTTCAAGGATTTTTTTGATTCCTCCCTTTCTCACTCTTTTCACTTTTTATCCAATGGTAAGTCCTACAGGCTCAATGTCTGTAATACATTATGACCTTTCCACAATCACAATGTATTATGAATCTGACTGCTTCCTCCAGCTTCCAAGGGACCTTTATGGTCCTATACAAGTGAAAGAGCATTCTAACCGATCTATTTCTTTTCTCATCTCTCTAATATCCATTCTGTACCTGGTGGCCTGAGTGAGCTTTTAAAATAAAATCAGAAAATTAAACTCTTATATTTAATATCCTTCATGGTTTCATTTAATTTTGAAACTAATGTCTATACTCCTTAACTGATGCACAAAAGTTTGCTTTTGCCTTGCAGTCCTGGTTAATCTTTTACCACTCTCTCCTAGTCAGCTCCTGTGAGGCCTAGTGGACTTCTCTCTTTTCCTTGAATATACTGAGCTTATTTCTACATTAGTACATTTGTACTTATTGTTCTATTATCCTGGGAATATTCTTCAGCTTCAAAGCTATATACTAAAACTATTTCTTTACTATTTTTTTTACCATTCATAGATAATTACATTCTGAAAGAAATTAAACATGGAATCCCATTTAATTTTTTCAAATGTAGGCTCTCATTAAGAATCTTAGTTGTCATTGCAATGCCAATTTTGGTGTGATGTATTTGTTGCTTGCTTAAATTTTCTACTGAAATGGGAAGAAGTTTGTTAGTAAATAAATGGGAGAAGAAAAGCTCTAAATTTAGGATCTAGTTGCAAGGAAGTAAAACTCCAGAAGGAGATCATTGACCATGAGAACACTCTTGACTTCAAGTTGGTAGAGGTTAGTAGAAGGTCCCAAGTGGTAGCTAGATGCTGGGAGGCAGCAGAGAGGGTAGATAAGAGCTCCAACTCTGGAGCCAGGGTGTTTGGTGCCCACACTGGCTTTACCATGATGAGCTGAGAGAACTTGGGTCAGTTGTAACTCTGCTATTCCTCCATTCCCATCTTTAAAGAGAGGAAATGATTGTGCCTCCCTTCCAGTTATTGGAAGGGTCAAATCAGTTAATATAGTAAGTATTTAGAATGGTACCTGGAATATAAGATCAGCTGTTATTACAAGGTGCAGATCCCTCCATAGAAAGATATAAAAATGAACCCAAGTGTTTGTTGTTATTTCTAGAATTCATTGACAGACAAAATTTACTCTGACATTAATTCCCCCAAATCCACACACCAAAAAGAGGACAAGAAAGGAGAATATATTGCATTTTGGGAAAACAGAAAGAGCTATAGAAAGAACAGAGATAGATCAGAGAAGACCTTTAATTTAAGAATTAAAGATTCTGGCTGGCTGGCATGCAGTAATCCCAGCGTCTTGGCAGGATGAGGCAGGAAGATCTAAAGTTGAAAGCCAGCCTCAGCAATTTAGCAAGACCCTAAGCAACTTAGTAAGACAATGTCTTATAATAAAATACTAAAAAAAGGGCTGGGGGTGTAGCTCAGTGGTAAAGTGCCTCTGGGTTAAATGACTAGAAACCCCTGGCCCAAAATAAAGATACTGAAGTCTTCAAATACTGATGAGATCAGGTCAAAAAGGCTCGGCTCAGGTTTATAGGGGCTCAAATCTAAGTCAAGCTGAGCAAAAAAAAAAAAAAAGAAAAGAAAAGAAAGAAAAAGAAAAAAAAAGGAATAAGGTGCGATATATACATTGAATTTTTAAAAGCCACAAATTCATAGTGTAGTGATGGAGGATATATTAGGAGGAGAGAAGATAGGAGAGAGGGTAGAAGACAAAGAAGGAGGAAGAGATAAAAAGGGAGGGACAGGGAGAGGGCCAGGACAGAGACATAATTCTTTATTACAAATACTGTCAGGTAAAATAAGAGGAAGAAATTATAGAAAATGATGTTGCAGCTCAGTATAATTGGTTCAAGCAAGGATCATCAGTGTATCCTGAACCATTGTGTGAAACCTCAAAGAAATCAGCACATTCTCACGGATCAAAGTATTAACCCCCAAGCAACTTTTTACCCCCAAGGGAAATATCAAGCTGTCAACTTCTTAACTGTTTTCAAAATTAGTATCAGTGACAGTGGGACAATCTGACATTATGTGCCTTTTTATATGAAGCAGTAAGAAGTACACAATTCTTATCACTTAATAGTAGAATTCTATATATTACTCATACAAAAACATTTAGCCTGTAACATTTAACCTTCTGCACTCTGTAGGTACTATGAGGAAATAGAAAATTTCAGAACACAGAAAATAGTATAAACAAATACCCTGGACTATTTTTTAAAAAATACTATTTTTAGTACAAAAGATGGCACTGAGTATTCTAGATTGATAGACTAAGGAGACCAAGTAATACAGTGTATGAAACTTAATTAGATCCTGAATTAAAAAAAATGTTTGAGAGCAATGAGAAAATTCAAAAAGGGCATTTACAAGTATTAGGCATTATTTAGGTATAAAAGTTATACTTATTTAAGAGAATATTCCTATTCTTCAGCAATGCCCATTGAAATACTTAGTGGTACAGTATCATGTTGTCTGTAAATTTCTTTATAAAGTTTCAAAAAGTTGTGTGTGTGTATGTATGTGTTGTGTGTGTGTGTGTGTTCATGCTTGTGTGCATATGTGCTCATCTTTCTGGGTCTTTGTCTGTTTAGTGCATAATGCACATATTCCAAAAGGTTAAACATTGGTAGAATTGAGTGATGGATATGTGAATGTTCAATGTATTATTCTTCTGAATTTCCTGTATGCTTGAAAATATTTTAAATTAAAGCAAAAATATAATGAAAACCAAATAAATAAATAAATAGAGTAGCTTCTTACCTGTTGCATTCTGTGCTCCTGCCAGCCTGGCTCGTATTAAGCCATGTCTCTCCTTGAGGTGAAGAATACGAACTTTTGGAAACTGAGACATGTATTTATCCAAATTATCTTTTAGGTAGTCTACATAAGAGTAAGGACATACAAGGAGAAACATTAACTTTGTAACTGGGTCTGCACCCAGATTGCCTCTGTAATGTCAAATTCCAAAAACTGAGATTATTATGGTCACTAAATTTTACTGTTTGGGTTAAAGTTTTATTTTCTGACATAATTTTCTTGCAAAGTTTTATTTTCTGATATCATTTTCTTGCAAAGTTTTATTTTCTGATATCATTTTCTTGTTCAATATTATAAGCCTCTGGATTTCTCCATCAGCAGGAGAGAATTTAAGCAATGTGTGCAAACTGGAAATTTTGCAAAAGAAGCTGGTGGGGCTACCATCATTTGCCACCACTGTCCTTCTCTGCACAGATATTCCCTCAGTCAGGCATTTTTTTCTCTTTTTAGATATTCATTGGGGGATCCAGCTAAAGGAACATTTTTGGATATTTTAAAGATACGTGGTTTGCAGTCACTTCTGGGTACAATGAAGCTATTGACAGCTGTACCAAGCAAGAATGCCTTCCAGGAATATTTTGCAGATCATTTTCCTAAGAATTTTGTATTATTTTTTCTGAAGGAGGACCCTGAGAACTGTGTAAATTCCAGGTACCACAAAATCTGGACCTACCTTTCAGAAAGGAACTTTTTACTGCTTAGTATCTAGATACCATATTCTGTTTATGTTTCAAGGCCACTTCTTAAAGTTTCAACCAGTTTTCCTGGGGCATCACATTGCTTCTTGAGCTTGGTGCGATTAAGGCTAAACTGTTCTAGAAACACTGTCATCTCTTTGCTATTTTCTAAAATTTAATGAAATGGGCTGTGTTTTTGGAATTTATAATGTGGCAATAATTGAACCTGTGAGACCACTCATATACACAAATTGTTTGAAAACCCCAAGAGTGAAATTCTTCATTATAATAAACAACAACAAATGTAAAGACGGCAGTGGACTCTGTTTTTGAACTCTGTTGAAACCACATCTCTCTGGTCCCACTGGAAATGAATTTTTGGCACCATTAACTTGACACATAATCTGCCCTGAGGAAGAAGAACAGGATCTCCATTTCTTTGCTTTCCATAGAACTTAATTCTAGTTAACACCAATAGGAAAGTTATTCTATTAACATGGGACTTTTGCTTATTAGATTCTATGAAGAAAGTCTTGTACAATTGTAGGGAACATTTCTGGACTCTGATATTCAAAGTGTGCATCTTCAGAGAGCTGTAGTTGTAAAATCACTTCTATGTGTGTAGGGGAGTCATAGGTGAGGAGAGCCTGAAGTAGGTAGCTGAACAAAGTTCCAGATGAGTTCAGGTCCTACAGATGCTTAAACTCATGCCTCTAAGTCTCCACATGAAACAACGATTTAGAATTTTATGAATTTTATCAAATTAACAGTAATTTTGCTATCCAACCTACTATAGCCTCCCACCAAATGTCGACATTTCAGAAGAAAACTTGAATAGTTTAGTACCTTTGGTGCTAAAGTCATCAACCAGCACAATCTCCTTGATGAGGTGTGGAGGAGAGCGGTTGAGGACACTGTGAACGGATCTCAGGAGAGTGGACCACACCTCATCCACGAAGCACATTATCACACTGGTAGTTGGGAGGTTATCGTGAACTAGTTGTTCTGCACACCTGGGTCAGAATAGAAGCAAAGTATAGAGATGAGATCCATAAGATGGTTTGAGAATATCACCACAACACACACACGCACTCACACGCACAATTTATACACATATATATTTACATATAAATAAACAATCATTTTAGCAAGTGTCTTTTTTTGGGGAAGGGGTACATGCAAAATAAAAGAGAAGCAACAAAATAACCAGTAACCAGTAGCAGTAGTTGCTGTAAAGAACTAGTAATGCAAGCCGGTAGCGCTTCCTGTGAAGGCAAGAGGCAGAGAACACAGAGGCCATTCATATCTTCCTTAAGCTTTTGTGCCTCCATTTCCTCATCTGCAAAGTGAGATAATGGTCATTCAAAGTTTCATAAATTGGTGATGATGGTTCAGAGCTAGCATAGTTCCTGGTACAGGAATTCACTAAATCTAGTGTTGTGATCATTATTAAATTATATACCAGAATAGAGCATTTCAAGGTTTTTGATGTTGCTAAGTAGTTTATGATTACCCTTGTAACTGGCCATCTGCCAAATGCCAAAAGGAATGTTCTTTCTTCCACTCGGCATGTAAATGCGTTTATGGTATGATATTTATGTACCAAACAATTATGATGTTCCAGCTTCCCTCTGTATCTGGAGAGTCCTTGCTCATACTTTGCTACAGAGTAGACATAGTTGAAGTTACATTGTTGGCATAGAAATGAGATCAGGCTGGATGGGAAATGGTGGTTTGCCACTGGTCTCGGGTCTTTTCCATGCTCTGCAGTTTATCCTGCTCCATTGCTGGCACTGTTCTAGGTCCAACCTGTTACTCCTTACAAGAAGGCACCCAGTGGAGCCTCACAAAGAGCATTTGCCATCCCACCAACACAATTCCTCTTAGTAATAATTAATGATGATCATAGATAAATAGTATAAACACTGTGCCTCATTTTGATTTAAACCTCTACTGTCATCTCTTCCCATTTTACACATGAATGACTGAAATCATGGAGAAACTAGTTTATGATGACACCAGTCAGTAAATGGCAGAGCTGGGACTGAAACTCTGGTCCAGTCTGGCTCCAGAAGCAACCACTCAGAAAGTCTTAAGTCTACAATAAAAGCAGCTGCTTATAGATGTGACATTCTTGAGAACTGATGCCTCTATTGAATAACATAATTATACTTTGTTTATTTGATAAATGAGAAATAGATAAGAGTAAAAATCATAATAGAACAAACCACATTGGCATGATACTTAGATAGCTAAGAAAATACTATTATGTGCATGTAAATTATTAGTTAATTATGTGTGACAGTTGCTTGAGATAAATATTATTCGATACTTCCTCAAATAGAAAAAAATGAAGAGTAAGAAGTTAAATGACTCACCTGGTATCATTCATCTAGAATGCATATGGCAATGTGAACAAATGGTTCTCATTCTACTGCTCTATGCTGGTTTTTCTGTAGTAAGTGTATGGGTTTGGGAATTAGATGAATATGTACTCAAATACCAGTTCTCCCTAATTATTGGCTTTATGAAGTCACATAATTTCTTTAAACCTTAGTTTGCCAACTATGAAGCATAGAATTAAAATCCGCTTGCTGTAAGATTAAATACATGTATTATGTAAAACTCCTCTGGTATATATCTGACTCACAGCATGTGTTCAAGAGATGGGTGGCAAATCCAGCTATGCCCTGTAATATCAATGGCTGGGTATCATAATAACCAACAAAGCCTTAGGAAAATGTACCTATCCAGTCCACAACCACAGAAAACCAATTCAGAATGTTTGCATAGTGTCTGACAATCTGTGTCTTAAAAAACAATAAACAAAACTACATGAAAAATAACAAGGAACAGAATAAGAACTCAAAAGGCATTGATAGGCCAGTTGGGGCACTTATGTTCTAATCTAAAAATTGATTTATTCTCTGTATTGTTTATGACTGATCTTAAAGTTAAATGGAGGGTTTAACACTGGTGCTAAATTTTCAAGTGGTGTAAAATCAAAATAACATTTTAATCAGGTATCTTGACCTCATAATCAGGTATCTAGTGTTAACATAAAACAGCAGACTGTCTAAACTAATTTTAACCTTATTCTATACAAAATATCTATGAATTGGCAATCTGAATAATATAAGATATCCCTGACCTCACTTAAGTGCCATATTAGTTTCTTGTGGCTGCTGTATATAGCAAATTAATAAGAATTCTGCTCAACACTTCCTTCCTCAATTCATCTCTTTCCTCCCACATTTTACTATGGACAGAAAAAAAGACACAGGTCATACCTTGAACACTTTGCTTGGTACTCTCCTTAGCTAAAATATTTACCACTTGCAAGTTCTGCTAATTTTCACAGGATAGGCACAATTTATTCAGGCTTGCTGTCACTACTTAACACACCTTGTCTTTCCTCCAGTTCCCAATAATTTGTTCCATATTTCTTTTTGAGCCATAGCAAGAAGCACTTACAATGCTCATAGTTCATATTCACAGAGATAATAGAAACTTCCTTATTTCCTTCTGAGCCTACACGAGTAGCATATTTAGCATCCATTTTCCTACCAACAATATCTTCAGGATAATCTATACTTTTTCTTACATGATACTAAAATTCTTCTAGTTTCTGTTTATCTAATACTCAATTATATTTCTTTGGCACAAATGATCATATCCAGTCTTTTGCTACATCAGGTAATATTAACAGGTCCTGGAAATAAGAAGTAAATATATCTTTTTTTTTGGGGGGGGGGGGCATTTTTATCAGTCTGCCGCAAGGATTTAATACAGTATAGAATATGGAATTTTTGAAGGCAGATGTATCTGTTATTTCTTTTAATATGTGGGTGCCCCCCCTTATCCCTCAAACAAAGGTAAGTTTACATAGGTTTTACAGAATTGTTAAAGTCCTCCTCCTCCTCCTCCTCCTTCTACTACTACTACTGGAAAAAATTACCTTTGGAGCTTCTGTGAAATTTATGAATTTATAAAATGAAACCCACGAAAGGGTTAATTGACAAATGCCAAATTATGAATCATAATATTAATACTTAATTTTATAAAAGAACAAAAATTTTAAAAGAAAAGAATATGAATTAAAAGATTGCAAGTTTTTTAAATTAAAAAAATGTGCTTGGTTGCATAATTAACAACAAATGGGGGGCAATTTTGGAACTAGAAAAGTTTTAGATTCTGAAAATTCTTTTACAATTAAAAAAAAAAAATCTCTAATGTAAGAGATCTCTCTGGCAGTGACCATCAAAGGCCAGAGCCATGAGACTGCAGTTTCACAGGTAGGGAAGGGACAGGGCTATAGCACAACGAAAAAGAGCCAACAGTGTATGTAGGAATGGAGAATATTCTGAAGACTATTTTCCGGGAAACCTAGAAAGGAAAGAAGTTGGAGGGTGGGATTCAGGGCAAATCTTTCACCTGTGTTCCTTTCCCTCTCCTCAATGGTGAGGAACAGAATCCTACTTATGGGCTCCAGGGAAGGGGCGGATACAGTTGAGAGCTGACACCTCCCCACCACCAAAAAAAAAAAAAAAAGAAATAAGTAATTGGTAAGATTATTAGTGAAGTAAGGTTACTTTACCTTTCTCAAATTTACTGCAGCAGTTTATGAAATTAACCAGCCTAATCTCCCTCATTCACTCTTCCCACCACCACCCTGCTTTTTATTTTCTGTTCCCAAGAGACAAGACATGACACTTTCTGAATTTTCACCCATTACTGGCTTTTCCTTTTCAATTCCTTAGTTTTTTATCTCTTCATAATTTTTTTTTGCATTTTATTTTATTTTTATTTTTTATAATTATTATTTTTTATTGGTTGTTCAAAACATTACAAAGCTCTTGACATATCATATTTCATACATTAGATTCAAGTTGGTTATGAACTCCCAATTTTACCCCAAATACAGATTGCAGAATCACATCGGTTACACATCCACATTTTTACATAATGCCCTATTAGTAACTGTTGTATTCTGCTACCTTTCCTATCCTCTATTATCCCCCCTCCCCTCCCCTCCCATCTTCTCTCTCTACCCCATCTACTGTAATTCATTTCTCTCCTTGTTTATTTTCCATAGAAGATTCTCAGAGCTGGGTCCTGGGCTGTTTTCTTCTGTGTATGATGTCACTGGATGATCCCCTCTGGGCCCACAGTTTTCAGTATGATAATGTCTCAAATTTATATATTTAGATGAAATTTCACCTCTGACTCCAGACTCATGTGTTCAACAAACTGCTTAACATCTTCTCTGCGTGTCTCCCAGGCATCATACACACAAAGTATCTTTAACAGGAATTTTGATTTCTCCCCTCCCAGAGTAGCAGGTTATCTACACTTTCCCCTCTCACTACCCACCATGCTGTTGTCATATAGATGCCATTCTAGACATCACACTCCTCCTGGATGCAAACAAAAGGCATCTATCAACTCTGTCCCTAGTTTTGCCAGAATACATCTCAATTCCAACTTCTTTAAACTTCCATATCTCCCCCATCCCATTCTTGAGTTTTCTCCATCTTTCTCTAGGATTCTGCTAAAGTCTCCTGATAGTACTATATTTTCTCTCCTTGCCATATCCTTGCCACTTTCCATCTTAAATCCTTCAGTCAATCCCTATTGGACAAAGCAAAAAAAAA